CACGAGAAAATTGCATATTGGACGTGCATATTGCACGTGGGGAAAAAAACGCGCCTGATTTAAATGTCACACCTGAACGCTCACATCCTTTTAATTAGGGAGGAAGAGGTCTCAGAGTACCTGACCCTCCTAGGTCACAAGACCTAAATTCCGATCAGGAGGAGATCCTTTTAATTATGTTTGAAATTATGAACATTGCTCAACATCATGAAAATTAAACCTTATTTTCAATAAGCAATCCTGAAAAATTTTTTGGGGTGCTTAACTTTTTTCCAGGTGTATAGTAAAGACGGCTGATATGGTGTTTAAAACTTATCTAAAACACGAAACAAGTAAGAACGTTTCGACCCTCCTAGGTCACGAAGACCTAAATTCCGATCAGGAGATCAGGCAGATCCTTTTAATTATGTTTGAAATTATGAACATTGCTCAACATCATGAAAATTAAACCTTATTTTCAATAAGCAATCCTGAAAAATTTTTTGGGGTGCTTAACTTTTTTCCAGGTGTATATATATATATTCCACGTTTAATTAGATTCGCGATGTTTACACTATCTGCAAATTGCATGTGTATTATGCAAATACTATATATCATAACTACGAAAAAGATATATTTTTTTCTAAGTTCTAATTTAGCATACTCTTGTTAGCTATATATTTAATCTTATAATTTGTTTGTTAGATAAAGAGCGCAGAATGACTAGAAAAATTATAAGTTGATGTTAAGTTTTCTCGCACATTTGAAGCTAGATTATAAATACGAGCTAGTTGTGAAGATTGTAATTATTTTGAAGAATTTTCTTTCACGGTGAAGAGTTAAATTACTCAGTGTGTTTTCATGAAGTTCTTCGGTCAGGTTCCCCAGTGGGACAGCGGTAAGTCTTCGGATTTACAACGCAAAAATCGGGAATTCGATCCCCCTCGGTAGACACAGCAGATAACCCGATGTGGCTTTGCTATAAGAAAACACATACTCTTCGGTCTGTGTTTGCTATCGAATTACTTTGTACAAGTAAGTTGATTAGTTTTACTTGGTTACCGTCATTTGTAACAATTGTCTACGACAATTTACTCTTTGTACAAGTGTTAAAACTTTAGAAAGGAAATTATTATCGTTATGAGGACAGGACGTTGTATTATTTTCTCAAGATAATTAAAAAAAAAAAACACCAACGAAATAACAATTCTACATTGGTGTCAGAAGAGGGATATTATTTTAGTGCAAATAAAACAGTGCTATGAATATATCTGAGAATTTCATCGATTCAAGATGACGACCATAAGGCACATATTAAGATAGGAAACCCACCAGAAATGATAAAACAATGGCAAGAATATCAAACAGAGACAGGGCATTTAAAGAAGTAAGAAGAAAGAGATGGGAAATTAAAAGAATGAGACTGGAAAGTGGAAGAAGATCAATTCAGAAAATTGTTTAAAAAAATACTAAGATGTAAACGAAAAGTTAAGAGAAAGGGACAAACTGTTTAAAGAAGAATTAGAATTAAAAAATAGGTCTGATTGTAGACAAGATTGATGAAACTGTGAGAAATGTACAGAGAGATTAAGAAAAGAAGACTGAAGATGTACAGTGAAGCTGTAATGACAAGCTCGAAGTAAAAAAAAGATTATTGAAGTAGAAAAAGACATTGATGACGAAATAGAGCATTTAGAAAACGAATTATTAAATGCAAAAAATAAACAGCCACACTTCTTTCTGCACTGACTCACGAATTCCAATCTAAAATTACATAATATGAAATAAAAAACTTACTTGGTCTACACCTAAAACCACAACTGCTGTATCACCTGTTACTGAAGAATCTTCCTGGACTAACCCAGCCATGAATCTTCCAAATCTAGTTTCATAATTTAGCTAGTCACTTCAAAATTGGCTAATAGAGAAACCAGTGGACAATGATGGGAATGTACCATGGAGATCATGCCAGGCTCAAAGTGTGAAATCATTTCCAGAGTTAATAGGTGGAATATGATAACCAGCCATTCGTCATGCTACTTATTTAAAAGAATCAGCATTAAAAATATTAAGTAACTTACCAGTTGAAAGCCATAACAACTTTCAAGCATTGCCAGCAGTTTTATTCAACAAGTTTAGAGTGTCACACCAGAAAAAAGTATCCTGAGAAAAAGTTCTGGAATAGGGTATAGAGAAAAGACCTTAGCCAAATATGTGGAAGATTTGGAAAAGCTTGCCCAATTATCTTATTCGGAAGCTCCTCCTAAAATGATGGATTCATTGGCATGTGACCAGTTTATAGATGCCATAATAGATGAAGATATGAGAATTAGGTTGAAGCAAAGTTGGTATATATCCTTAAAGGAAGCTTTGAAGTTGGTGATGGAACTAGCATTTATTAAAGTTGCGCATAATGAAAGATACCATCTCAAAGTTATGGAATCATCAGATCAAGTAACGTTGAAACATCAACTCCTGCCGACAACAGCTTAGAAGAACAAAAAGGATTAATTATACAAATGAGGACACAGAATGGAGGGAACCACAAGACAATGTGTTTCAAATATAACTTGAAAGGGCATATTACCAAGAACTGCAGGCAAAGGCCTGTATGGAAAAAAAGCTCTCAAAGGATATCAGAAAGAGGTAACTGTTATAATTGTGGGTAACCTAGACTTACAGCTGAGAGTGTAAGAAATCAAGGAAACAGTAATTGGTTAGATTTATGAGGTGAAGTTCAGCTGGAAATACTACATCTACCATAAATTAGAAAAGGAATTCATTAGTTGATGAAAATCATCCATAAATCTACATGTTTATTGATGGAAATAACTGCAATATCTTGATCGACACTTTTTCTACAGCTACAATAGTTCAATCCAATTTGGTAATGAAAAGTGGATATTTTCTCCAGAGATGAATAATGAAGATGGATTTATGTGAACAGTAGATCGATATATAGTTCTAGCAAAAGGGAAGTTGGAAGTTACTCTCCCTCTAAGAATTTTCTCTGTGCCACATGATATGTGGGTAATTGACACCAAGGAAGAGTACATGTTGGAAACTGACTTCATGTTGAGACATGGATATAAGGTCAGGCTAGCTTCATAGCTAATGGCCAGGAAATCCTCATGCCCTACATAGCAATTACTACATTGGAGGTTGAACATCCAGTGATCATTGTACTGCTACCAAGAAATGAAATACTTATGTCAGGAATTAACATCAATAATTCTTAATCCAATAAGTGGAGCAAAGTGAAATCAAATACTCCAGCATGCCATGAGGGATTGAAAGAGCTCTCCTGGAGGTAAAGAATAAAGGTGTCATGCATAACTTTACCTTGGAAAGACTAAATCAGATTGTGATAAAGCAATCCACAGCTATACTATGCTGATAAAACTGGATTCCATCAGAGTGACATGATATGGCTGAACAATTCTCGTCATGAGAGAAGACAAACTCCAAGGTCAGTTTCTAAGACCAATGACTGAGCAAAGACAGAAAAGAAACCACAGCACTATTTCTGCCAGAGACAGAATCTATAAGAAGATAGATTTGTACTTCTCCACTTTTCTCGAGCTTATTTACATTAACCAGAATGAAGTCAACATTAACTGGTAGAAATCGCTGCTTCATTTCGAGACCTGATATACAAGTTTGAGCATACTTCTGGCAGAACTCACTGCCAATCAAAAACTCAACCTTGCGTTCATAT